CTAAACATTTTAGTGAGAAGAATCAGACCTCTTCTGCACATATTCAAACACACACACACACACACACACACACACACACACACACACACACACACACACACACACACACACACATTTGTAATGAAAAATGAAGAGGGCCAGACATCCCACGTGGTCAACCAGACACAGAAAGATGTGTCAGTTTGGTCAGTTCACTCATGTGAGAAAATATTCCAAACAACAGATAATAGGAAAAAGCAGCGGAAACTGAAGTGAAGCTGTAAACATGGCTTTGGAGGGATAGGGGTCCATCTGGATAAAGTGTGAATGTCCCTGTCAGTGTGTGGTCTGTTTCCAAGCTGATGTCCTTAGGGTTATGCTTCTGCACACTATGAAAATAAGACTCTCTAAAGGGTTCTCATTAGGGAGATGTGGATCTGATTTGATTGATCTCTCTCAGTTCAAGAGCACCTTTCCACTCAGTCGTGAAACATTAATGCAGGAATATTCTGATAGTCTTTTTGAACTATATTTTACATATTATTTCAATAATCTTGTATCTTTTCAAATGTGAACTGCAGCCTCTATGATATATCTATCATGAATAAAAACATTTAAATTTGAGAAAACTGTACTATTGCGAAAGTAGACGATCTAAAGAGTTAAAGAAGAAGATTTATACCAAAATAGACATATTTGAATTCAGAGTGGATACAACTAAATGGCACCTTATTTTATTGCGTGAAACCCAGGGTGGCCTTATTTAATTATTTCTCTGCTAGAAGACGCAGTTTATTGCTGTACCTTTAACTTTAGATTGTGTGTCCATAGTCTGCTCTCACATTCCCTGTTGTGTTAACAGAGTGCTGCAATAAGGAGATCACTTTTTCATTTTCTCTTTGGAAAGAATGCAGATACCAACTGGGAAGGGAATTGTGGGAAAATGGGCCCTGATCACTTAGAGGCTGATCGTTAAAGGCAGGCTCCAGGGCAGTGTCTTTATTTCTGTTCATCTCGAACAAGAAGACCAACCAGACTCACATTTCTGTTGTTTTAGCCCCTCTCAACGGGCACATGTCCACACCTCTCTCTTTTAATATATCAGATGGCAATCGATTAATGTAACTGTGAGTGTGTGAGTCAAAGCTAACATTCAAAAAGCCAATGAGATTTTAATACAACATACTGAAGGAAATAGATTGAACTTTTAACGGTTGTTTGTTTCCTCCGTATTTTAGCGTAATCCATACTTACTTTCTCAGATCTTTGAGATCGACAGCCCTAAATGAAATATGTCGTCAGCCTAAATTATCACGTGACCTATTGTCCCACTCTTTATTTTACAGTATTGTTCATTTTAAGCAATGGCTTTTGCAGAGTCTAGATTTAGACACCAGGGCAGTCACTATAGGGTTCAAGGTCATGTATGTATATTTCAGCAATCTCAAAGGTCAGAAGATATTAAGCAACGACTGGTTGTGAAAGCTCGTCCCACTCCCTTCCCTTCCTCTGTTGGTCATGACCCTCGACAACTCATCAGTCTTGTTTGAGTTACCTAAAAGACACTGAAACCCTACTTTTTTACTTCTTTAGAACAACCATGTTTCGTAAAGTCTCACCATTGCTTCATGTTTTGTATGGATCGCCTATATTTGATTTTTGTTTTGTAGCTGTTCATAGCACTCTTTAGTTAAAAAAAAAATAAGTTTTTGCTGTTTGTTCTATCATTTTTGTTTAGAATCAGAATCAAGTTTATTGCAAGGTACGACATACGAGGAATTTGCTTTGGTATCTGGTTTAATGTCTATTTTACTTAATTCATGTGAACCTTTTATGCTGTTGTCTTTGCCAGGACTCTACTCTAAAAGTGATTTTGAATCACAATAGGAATATTCCTGGTAACTTAAACATTAAAGGAAACATCTACCTGCCCAGTAGGTGGCGCTAAACGCTATCTGAGATTGTATAGCCACTCACTATTTATATATTTATTTCAGTGCAACTTCAGCTTACAATGTTTTCCACATGGACAAATGGTTTATTTCCAAATCAAATTAATCAATGCACTTTTCAACTACCAGTAACACAATAATAGTTTTGTATGACCCAGGTATAGGACATTTAGTGGATATGAACCAACAAATGGGGCTCCTTAATCAAAATGTGTGTGTAAATAGTGTGAACACTTAGGACAAGGAAACACACAGAAAGAAACCATTTTCAAGGAAAAAAAGATTTTAATGAAAAAAAACTATGGTCATTTTATAATTTTATAGCATATGATTGTATAAACATAAACATAGATGGACATCAATGAAAATCAGTTACATAATGTTTAAAATACATCTACTCCTCTTTTAGCAGGTGAGAGTAAAATGCTTTTAAGAGGTTAAAATCTTCACGTTTACAGTGAAAGGTTGACATACAGTGTTAAGTCATACAAGCTAAAATATAAACAAAGACAATTAGAAATCCATTTTAGTTATGAATTAACATTTCATCCATTCAAATCTGAGGCTGACAACATCAGTGGTCCTGAATGAGCTGACATGCTTGCATAAATTCTACCAAGAAAATGACAAATGAGGTTTTCTGAATGATCTTACCGCACAGTACAAAGAAAAACTGCCTCCCAACACATGACAAGTTGCTAGTAAAGGGTTGATTGCAAGTGCAGCGACTGAGTCTCTGAGCATCCAGCATCTTGGGGGGGAGGGGGGAGGTTTGGCGGCTGGGAGGGGGTGTTGTTATTGGGGTTTGCAGTCAGAGCAGTCTCCCCATCGTCTCTGTGAGTGCTTTAGTGTAGTTAGTGGAGGAGGTATACATTACAGGGGTACAGTTCAGTGGTGGTCAGTAAGACTGGAGACAGTCCACAAACTCAAGGGAGGGAGGCTGGGGGGGGGGGGGTTGAGGGATTCGGCTGACTGTCCGTGGCGAGCCGATGCAGAGTTGATAGAGGAACTGGGAGGGCAGCAAGTGGTCACAGCCTGAAGTTACCCAAGAGATAACTAGTTTGGATGGTTAATATGGTTTGCCACTGTGGACGGGCCGACGAGTGATGAGGAAGACCTCCTCCCGAGAGAAGGGTGGGTGCTTTAAGAGTTCTTGGAGACCATCTTCATCGTGATGGTCTTCAGTTCTGAGTACTCTTTCAAGCCGCTTTCTCCCCTGAAAACAGAAAAAAAGTCACAATGCCGCTCGTTTTCTTTAAACTATATCATGCTGACAGCAGCACTGAAATATAGTGTATACACTGCTAGAAGAATATTGCAATATGCTCTTAAAATAAGATATATGGGATGTTAAGCAATTTTGGAAAGTAGGTTTTCAAAACACACAAGTCAGTATTAGTAATATTGTGGTTAATGTGTGTATATTCAGTGGGCAGGCAGTCAAGTCATACTCACAATTCACGTCCATTGCCAGACATTTTATATCCTCCAAATGGACACTGTGTGCTCAGAGCGTTGAAGCAGTTTATCCTGGGGAATAAACAAAACATTGATCACTATTGTGCGTTTGACTTCTGTGGTTTGCTATTGTAATATTTTGTAGCAAAATCTTAATGCCGTCTGATAATAAGTCTGATTTATTGTCATTTTTGTAGCTATTCATGAAACCTTCTGGATTAAACAACATAATTCCCTTATTGTTTAATAAACACAGCTGAGGGTTGTCAGGCTGAGTATTTGGTAATTTATTAGCTGCTTCAGCCTGGGAAGGAAAGAGTGAAGCTGAGGTAGATTGGAAGTTGTAAAATGTTGGGATTGGTGAAGTTAATATGAATACCATTTAAAAAAAAAAAAAGCAAACTGAGTAAATGTAACAAAGATTGATTAAAGTAATTGTTAAATGAGAAAATGGATTCTAATCTTATGTCTGTATAGTAGTTATGAAGCTACCCACCAGCAGCAGAAAGCTTAGACACAAACACTGGAAAGAGCTAGTCCATCCAAAGGCAACAAAAACATCAACACCTCCAATGCTCACTTATTAAAACATTAAAAATCATTTTATTAAACTATATAAAACTGAAGTGTAGGAACAACACGTTGCGGTGCAAAAGTCAAATCTATAAGGAAACCGTTCCTGGTTGTCTACGGTCGATGCCAAAAGTCTCTACGTTGCAAAGATTCGTCGCTGTGGTCTGTATCAGAAGTGAGGTAATATTTCATAGAACAAGCAGGATGTCAAAGAAGAAAATAAGGTAAGAAAAAGTTTTTCATCTTTCTCGAAGAACACAATCCTCAACAGAGGAAGAAAATTGGGTGATGATTGGGCGGCATCAAGAATGAAGGACAAGGCAGAAAAATGTTTCCTCAGCATGCAGAGAAATGCAGTCAAGTATGACAAGTGGTGAGAAACTCTTGGCAGACGTTGTATGTTCGCTATAACTCTACTCCTACTCATAGCCATCTGCAGGTAATTACAAGAGAAACAAAACAGGTTTAGGTAAATTCAAGAACTAACATTTTATGACCATTTCATTTACACAAATGATAAAATTAGGGGTGTCAGTTTACATTTACATTGTGCGTTGCTGTCTTGCCCTGGCACGTTGCTATTGGTATGTTTTTATCTCAAATGTCTGAGCTGAGGGAAAGAAGTGAAAAAAAGGAAGGAAAACATTTCTTTGTGGTCTGTGTAATGATAGTGAAGTGGCACATTGCCAGTTTACAGTTTATGGATGCCAGAGTCTGAAATGGTTGATACTTCCCACATGAAAAATATTACTGATTGCAGCTAAAGAAACACAGCAGATGAAACTCACCAGACAGTGCCAGCCTGCATGGCTGTGGAAATGGTCATGGCTTTGTTGATGTTGCTGGTGAATACAGCCGCAACCAAACCGTACTCTGTGTTGTTGGCTCTCTCGATCACTTCCTCGATTGTTTTGAACTTCATGATCTGCTGGACTGGCCCGAAAATCTGCCAAAAAAATATGAATTTGGTTCATTTATAAACCTTATTTCTATGTTTTAACTGTATATAGTGTATAACTGGTCACCTATACAGAGATTTGAAGGTTAGGACAAAACTTGAGGTAGTTGTAGTTTACAACATTATTATATTATGCTACTTTATATTTACTTTTCAGAGGGAATTACTGGATACATTTATAAAATAGATTAAGTTACTACTAGATACAGATGATTCAATGTTTTATAGCATGGAATACTATACAAATTGTTTTAAGACATACTATACTCACTTTCTAGGACATGTTTATCAAATACATTACTGTGACTTTTTTGACATTTTATTTGAATTGTCATAAATGTAGTGACGTAAAATGGGTAATTGCAGTTGAAATAGGGTAACTGGAATAATAAAGTAAAGGCACATCAAAATTGTAATTGCATTACAGCACTTGAGTAAATTAACTTAGTAATTTATACCCCTGAAAAATATGATTAATTATTATGAATGAATAAACAATATAATAAAATGAGTATATTTTGCTGATAATATGTACTAGTAGTTTTACTTTTGTACAGTTGTTACTGCAGGTCATTGACTTGAAGGGAGGACGTAATATTCACGCAGGTACATGCATTAGTTTTGCAGGAGATATAAAAATCCCTGTTCTTCATCACCGTACCTCCTCTCTGGCGATGCGCATGTCGTCCCTCACGTTAGAGAAAACAGTCGGCTCGATGAAGAACCCTTTCACGCCCAGAGCTTTGCCTCCGCACTCCATCTTGGCTCCTTCACTGATGCCGCTCTGGATGAACTCCAACACACGATTCTGCTGCTCCCGACTGATCTGTGGAGGCGGAGGACGGACGACATCATAAGAGAGGCCAGGACAGAGAAAAGGAAGAAGACACAGCTTTACAGTAGATCTGTTGAATTACCTGTGGACCCTGCTCAGTGGTGGGATCAAAGGGGCTGCCGACTGTCCTCCTCTTGGCTCTCTCCACACTCCTCCGGACAAATTCATCATAAATGGGCTCTTCCACATAGATGCGAGAGCCGGCCGTGCAGCACTGGCCTGCGTTGAAAAACACGCCCTGGTGGGCCTCTTCCACAGCCAAGTCCACTGGAGGAAAAGGGATTTTAGTTAATCAATAGCTGCATGAAACAGTTTGTTCATTAATAATGCTACACCAAAGGAAACATTTATTTTACAGGTTAATAATTAAATAAGAATACTTAAGTCTTTTTCGAAGGTAAAGTATTAAGAACTTTAGGTTAACAGAAAGTGTAATCATCACATCTACATGTAAAACATCATTTTGTAAAAAGGAAAACGTGTGTAGTATAGTGTTACAACATTTCCCTAAATATTTATTGGAGCTATCCTGTGCAAATCTGATACCTGACACCTGAGAGACAGGACCCTGCTGTTGCGCACGAAGGGTTAACGGACCCCCGTGATTTATGGGTCTCGGCTGTAGCACCCGACTGAGTCAGGGTCCATTCTCCTGATTTACAGGCCTTAGGGAGCCCCTCTCACGGCTGCTGAAAGCATTTGAAAGCCTCGGCACCCCCAGTTTGGTGAGCCACTTAGAATTCATATGAAACCCATCCATCCACAGGTTTTCACAGCACTACAAAGCTTCTGATCATTGTAAGACTCACAGTCCATGTGTGTTAATCCACAGACTGGAGGTCCTGAGAATGGGACACACGACTAAAAAAAAACAGTGATAGTGAAGAACCACCAGCCGTGCCAAAAGTATGCGGACCCAGTTTTACTGAAAGTACTGCATGACAAGTAAAAGTCCAGACTCTAAAATGTAAATGTTAGAAGTATTATTATGCAAATGTTCTGAGTTTCCAAAAAATGTATACATTTTTTTTTTTTTAAGTATTACATTATTGTAAAATATGAATATTCAGTTTTTATCAGTAACACACATAATCTTATAGTTTGTCTTATATCATATCATGTGTTACATATATTAAAAGTAGCTTGTGTGTTGTATAATTATTATAGTGGAGTAAAAAGAACAATTTTCCCCCTGAAATGTAGTGAAGTAGAGGTAGGAGTATCATAAAATATAAATACTCAAGTAAAGTAAAAGTGTATCAAGACAGTACTGACGTACAATATTTGAGTGAACGTCCTTAGTTACGTCCTCCAACTGCGAACCACCTATTGAGGGTAAATGTATCTCTGAATAAAGAGATACATTTAAAAAAAACTTTAAAACGTACAATCAGCATCTGCAAAGATGATGTTGGGGTTCTTTCCTCCCAGCTCCAGCGTCACTTTCTTCAGGTTGCTCTTCCCAGCTGCTTCTTGGATCAGCTTGCCGACCTGGTGAAGGAAACAGTTCTTGGGTTTACTCACAGAAATGCAGGCCCGTGGCCAGATCAGTAAATCAGCTGGAGTCATTAAAAAGCTTAAAGAGGTTGGTTAGCTCCAAACAGGGAATGCTCCGGTAGGCCAACTGAAACATGAGTTCTGCAAACACACAGAATGAATATCTATTACAGGTTTTTGGAGACAGCAACAGGAAAATAAAATGCTGTTTCAGCCGGGAACAGCATCTGATTTCTAATGAAGGGCAGGAAGAAGCAACCACAAGGCGTGTGTGTGGGGATGTGACTATCTGAGGGTGATTTCAAATGGGTCTGGTATGTCAATATGGAAGACCACAAGGGACTCGCTGTGGTTTATCTTTATCTTCCTATCATCCCTATTTCTACTTAATACGACCTAAACAGAATGAAGAATAATAAATAAAGGTTCAAGAACAGCACAAGGTCACTAAAGGGAATTCCATATGTAAGTCATCTTATACATAACAGGGTTTTTGTCAGTTTTAACTCTTTAACCGTAAATCATGTATACTTTTTATTTTAGGTGAACATTTTCAAAAGCATGCTCCAAGTTTATACATTAGTTTATATGGTTCCTGGGAGCCATTGATTTTCAATTTATTGGAATGAAAATAAATGAGCTCAGCTGACGAGTATGAGTGAGTGTGAATATGTTCCCTAACAATCACTATGTGTAGGTGTAAGGTGAATATCCTGAGGTTCAGAGTGATTAATAACACAACTCATTATTTTATCTTTATTCATCATATGTTGAGTTTTTCAAACTTTCTTTCATAATGACGTCATTTTTATTTCAATCAAGATTTTTTTTTCTAATGTTTTCATGAGGTTCATGAGTACAACTGCTTTAACTTAAATTTTTTTAGTGTTGTGAAATAATGTATCATCTCAAAAGATAACAACAAGCCTGAGAAACTTCACACACCCCCCTTTAAAACCCCAACACCCTAAACAAGTATTCATCTTCCTGTTACTCATACAGCCTGTTTTATTTTCCGAGAGAACTGACAAGATAAAGTGGAAAAATCCCCTCTCAGTTTTCAACAGAAAATAACCCCACCTCCAGCTTGGAAAAAGACTCTCTCACTATCGTATCTAGTGTCTGACAGGCTTTAAGATACAGAAAAGCACAGACTATAAGAGAATCAAATGCAGTGCTGCGGCTGGTATAGAAAAAATACTTGGCTTGGTTTCAATGATTCTGAATCGTTTGGTCTGTCTTTGATGAGAATCACAAAGTGGCTGACTAAGGGAGGGTTAGCGTGTGTTTACTCAGTGGTAAAGGAAACACGCTGGGCTGCGAGACACTCCTCCATGTGCAGTCACAGCCACATGTGAGTCAGTACGAGGATGAGCTGTGGTCCTAAAATCCACCTGTAGCTTCACCACTACCAGTAAGAAGATGCGGTGGTGGTGAGTATCCCCCCTCCCCCCTCCACTCCAACCCTCTGCTACTAGAGCGTGGTGACTCACTGTCTGGGCATCGGCATTCTCTTACAGCACTGGCTCATTCTCTCAGTAATTGACTCCAGATCACATGAAACAACAGGAAAACTAGTAAAAAAAAAAGCTGAGCCACTCACAAAGGAAATGTTCAATCAAGACGAGATGATAAAACAAAGAAGATGTTTGTGTAAGAAGGTGCATTTGTGTCAGTTTGCGTGCATACACTGATTGGGTGTGTCTGACTGTGTAAAGGGATTGGAATAAAAAAATGTTTGTTTTATGTTATACTTTGCTGGAAAATCATAAAGACAGATACGAGACATACACAGGATAATATATGTTCCTCCTCATTGTGTCCAATTCTGATTCTGCTGTCTAATTCTTTACGCTCTTTTTTTGGCTCATCAGATCATGTATATTATATACCTGTGTAGGTTATTGAAGATTACTCAAAATATATAAACACACCGCCAGAGTCGAGGCAGGAATCTCCAGAACACCACAAGGCTAATCCGAGCATTACATAAACCTGGCTCATTCATCAAAGATACATAAGAAGTACATGCTCACATCACAACGTAAATTCTACCGGAGGGGCTAGCTTGCAGTTTGGAATAACAGATGTTTATAAATGATCTGCAGTAAAATAATCTGCTGTCACTCTGGCTGCTCTCTCTGGCCTGAGGAATGCATTCAGACCACAACACCTCTGAGCTCTCAACACCTAACATGGTTTGTCCATGATGATTAAGCTTTCCATTAACTGCTCCCCTGTTCTGCAGAGATACAATGATTTATCCGGATCGTAAGTTAAATGGAAGGTGCGTTAATACTGCAGAGACAGCGAGGGAAACAGAAGAGCGGCAGTGTTTTCACAGAGATGTGTTTGTATACTCTCAACGGCGCAAATATGTGCATGTGTGCCGGATAAAATCAAAGCCCCCCGTCATGAGTAGTAATGACAGGGTGCACAGTTAATGTAAAACCCCATTTGTTTGTCATTTAAACTTCAATGCATGCACACAACATACTCTAATTAGCCGGCCTGTTCTTATGGTCTGCACATGTTGGTCACTGTGTCCCTTGTGACAGAACTAAGCAATAGGCAGCTGTTGTTGTAAGCCACGTTATTAGAGAAAGCGTACCTTGGTTGATCCTGTGAAAGCCACTTTGTCTATGCCCATGTGCGAAGAAATCGCAGCTCCTGCCGTTGGCCCGAATCCTGGCAAAATATTGATGACTCCCGGTGGAAACCCGGCCTGTCAAAACAATGAGAGGAAACAAGCTTTAGTTGAGATGACAGCAAAGCCAAGCAAAACTGCAGGCGGTGTGGGGGAATCCGGACGCAACCCAGGGTTTGACCAGCTGAGAACGGAGAGAACATCAAAAAGAAGAAGGCAACAGACAGATAGTCTCCAGAAAGAGACGAAGCCAGAGAGGGCAGGGGGGGAGAGCGGGAGGATGTAGATCTCAGTGTAGACACTGAGATATTTACAGAGTGATTACGTTTTAATACATAAACATGTTATGATACTTTGTTCCTATCCTTTACATAAGCATGTGTACATCTGGAACTTGAAAGGAACTCACTTCCTCTGTTGCTTTCAATAGTGATGACGTTATGGTTCAACTCCATACATCAATAAGTCTTATTACATGTTGGCTTGACTTAGCTGTACTCTAAATGCAGCTCTGTTGTGTTTTAATCTCTGCTTTGTCTTCCATCGGTCTCTGGAAACGTGTTAGCACTGATATTCAATCTCCTATTGACTTCTAAGGTTGCTGATTGCAAATGTATTTTTAATTTAAAGAATTGAGGTACCGTAGCTTTAATTTTTGATCACATACAAATTCAAAAGCAAGTCAGTACCTACAACATTAAGTGAACACTTTTCTCTATTAGCACATTCAGTCTGTGACCACTATCCAATATCGTGGTAGGGTCTGAATTACTTAAGTTTAAGACTGGCACGGATGTTTATTCCCAATCAGCCACTTGTAATTTTTGGTTTTAACAGTAAGGCATAAATGAAGCTAAATAGCTCAGCAGCCAACTATTTGTAATAGTAATACAATTCTGGTTGTTTTGGTATATTTCTCAGTCTTTTAATAAGATTTTCACAAGATTAGTTTGTTCATGAATTTAACATCTTTTTTTAATCTCAACAACTATAAAAACTGTTCATAGTCACACATTTACACATACTATCTTGAGCAACCAGAGCACTGCTTCTTTAAAGATATGTTGGGTTTTAAAGTGCAATTTGTTCATGTTGAAAGGGCCACAAACAAATATAATGGCTTTTATGTTATTGGAAGAGCACCAAATCTTTCTACATTCTAAATAAAACGCTGCGAAAGGATGATAAACGTTAGTTTGTTTTTTATTTAGATTTACTTTAACTATAGCAAACGCATTGTTTGGTGCTAATCTTAGGCTGAAAATTAGGATTACAGACTCTGGAAAAATGGGCCAGAAAAACAAGTGACAGTTTGTCAAACATCTGTTTTTTATCGCCCTGTGGTTATGTTAATGACAGATTATCCAAATAAAGTGTTGGCCAGATTCACAGTGAACACTGTGTACTTGGCGAACTGAAGCCGTTAACTGATTCTGATATTGGGAGTATTAACATAAGACTGGCCAAAAGAAATTTGGCAGGCTGCCTCATAAACATGTGTGGTTGGATTCTGTCATTTACCTCTTTGACGAGAGCTGCCATGTAGAGGCAGGTGAGCGGTGTCTGCTCAGCAGGTTTCAGGACAACAGTATTTCCACATGCGATAGCTGGACCCAACTTCCATGCTGTCATCATCAGAGGGAAGTTCCACTGTGAGGCACACACACACAAACACACACATTTAGAAAAAAGACATCATGCATCTGACTGACACACTGGGTGGTCACAAGTCAAGCTCAATAACTCATCGCTCTTTAGTCACTTACTCTCATTTTCACTCTGTCTAAACATAGTCAAGTGAGAAAATGTTCTCGGCACTTGTACAGTATTTTCTCTTCCCACAGTATTCTGAGAAAGCCGGGAAATTGCAACACATGTGCAATAGCCCCATATCACTGTACAAAACACAGGCCTGTGTTATTTCTGCTTTACACAGGAGCCCATGGGGCTCAACGCAGAACCACACGCTTTCTGCACTCTTGCACAATCAACAGTGTCTCTTTCTCCTTGATCTTTCCTCTCTTTTCTCACAGTTCTTCTCCTCAAACACACTTTGTTAAATCCCTTAGCTCACTCTTTTGCTTCTCACTTCTCGTTCTCTATTAGTCAAACTCACTGGCCCCGTCATTTTGGGGGCTTACCACAGGATTTACACGAATAAACAGTGTCTGTCAGGGAATGACTGGAAAATGAAAATTGAAATTCAACGAATAGGCCAGAGTAACAACCAACGACAGCTCTTTTAAACTCAGCCAATTCATTGTTGTATGTTATTTTGTTCAAACCTTTATGTCCATTTGTCTCAATCATGCACGTCACTCGTAGGAAGGGTTATACTCACAGGGATAATTTGTCCACAAACTCCAATGGGCTCATATCTGGTAAATGATATATACTCTCCATCTGTGCAGGAACACACGTGACACACACACACACACACACACACACACACACAAAAACAGAGAGCAGGGTTATTCATTTCTAGCTTTAGTAGTTTAAAGCTTGTAATTGCCTGAAAGACATGAAAAATGTCACCACCTGATACCCCCGGTGTTGTTGACTCAACATGTTAATTTGTAAATGAATCCACACGCAACATTCCTGCTTGCTTTATCCCAGTGAGAGATTACATTTCGTTTGGAGCCTCCTAAAGTACAGGCATGTGTGTAACTGTTTTAGGTCATAGAGATGGGTGTTATGCTGGAAATGTTTGCTCATTCCTCTTGCATTACCAAAGTAAAAGGAGGTACTTGCTGAGGGTGTGCCATGCTTGTTCATATTCAACAAAAACAATTGATATTGAGAAATTTATAGAAATGTGTTAAAACAGTCGTCAGCTGAAACATTGACTCATGTTGCATTTGGACTTGAATGACCGATGGCAGATGACAAGCCGGATAAGCATTTTCAATGGGATGCAGTGGGAGTATGACAATGGACACAAAACTGCAGCACAAGGTCTCATATGTCAACCTTTTTTTCCGTAATACCAAAGTGGATGTTGGGTCTTTCAATACTGTTATTGTTTGGAGAATGAAACTATAAACCTATTAGACATGAGGTTTTCGGGAGGAGCTCAAGTATCTGCCAGGTTTGTTTGAAAGTATGACTCCTGCGAGATGACTTATATTTCAATTTGGAACAAGAAATGTAAACTATACCAAACTGTGTAGCCAAAGGTGCTCCACATAATGTCACTCCCTATTCATTTCACACTGTCTGTGATACAGATTTAACACGATAATCTCAGCAAGACAGATAGATGTAATGGGGTTGTTGATGGGAAAAATCCTGCACTTCATCCCAACTGTTGAACAAACACATTAACGGACAGCCTAACATCATAGAGAATACAGGAATACCCTTGTTTATTTCCACTAGAGCAATAAAGCTTTGACCAAAGCCCTGGCAAAATGCTCACCGAGGTTGGTTTGGCAGCAGTGTACAAGAGAAGCTTTGAGAGGGACAATAAGGTGGTATCAGGAGGTTTCCCATGTCCTCTCTCTTATTCTATTTTCCTTTTTTGTACTTCCTGTTGAAACAGACAGCCAACTTTTCCCTCTAGCAACCCCCAAACTCAACTGAGGCGACACTGGAGGCAGCCTCAACAGGACAATAAATGTTAGTGTTAGGAGTAATCCCCAATTTGATGTCTTACTTTGCTGAGTATAAGTGTGCTTCTCCTACAAAACCTTTCTTTTATTCAACTAAGTGTGTTGTAGGTTTGGTACATCGAGTGAAGGTAAAACAAATAAATTGCAATTAATTTGATTACTGATTCATTTTTAATGGGATAAATAACAGAAAACCTTGGAAGATACGAAGATTTCCTGTGCTTTTTCAGTTTGATATTATACATAACATATATAAAGATATGCGCTTGGAATAATTTTAATAGTATATTTTTGTAATATAGTCTGACATCTTATAGACCAAACAACTAAATAATTGCAACCCATTTCTTGCTAGTATCTTCCTTTTAATCTTCTACTTTTACCTTTATTCTCCAACCACCACTCTCCCTAAACAACAGTCTGCCGTCTGTCCACGTCACTAAAACTATGCCGTCTTAATCAAAAAAGGACCTTACCCATTGGAATAGAAGTGCCGTGGATCTTGTCTGCGTATCCAGCGTAGTATCTCAGTGTCTTTATGGTTCCCTGGAGGTCCACAAACAGGGTGGGCAGGAAAGGCTTCCCACTGTTCAGTGACTCAATAGTCTGAAGAGAGACGGGGGAGACGAAATATGTGATATAACCTTGTGATCCTCACATAATTCCATACTGCTCCAGTCTTTACACTCTCCCGCGGGTGAAATGTGACACTAAGATAACACTTAACTACAAATACAGCCCCTTAGTTACAGTTATATGTTCCCTTTAAGGCAAAGTAAGTTTATCAGTATTTTCAAACACAGCGGCAGCTCAAAGTGCTTTGCAGAAGGTATAAAATGAAATGATCAGGCAAAGGAGTAATGGTTATACTACAGTTACAGAGATGTTATAATAAATGATTACTTTAATAGGGCAGCAATCAAGAAGATAAGATGCCATTTGTTAATAATTGTTATCCATGTGGGAAATAACTCTTCTAAACTGAAAGAAAGTTATTAACAATAATTGAGTCATGCCAGTATAACTTACTGCTAGATAGACACTGTCTCTCTCCACCAGGTCGGCCAGTTTGGCCAGCAGCCGCCCTCTCTCAGACGCATCCATCCTCCGCCACACGGAGCCCAAAGAGGAGGCGAGGCGCGCAGCCTGCACCGCTTTATCAACATCCGCCTAAAAAGACAAGACACATCATTATCAACCAGATGCAATAAACAAGTGTCTTTGACATTTTTCATGCCAGTAGCACGCTGAGTTTTTCAACTTTTTATTTTCTCATAAAAGATTGATTCGTGTTGATCTTAAAGCAACTAATACACATGCATTTAAAGAAGTAAAAGCAATATTTAAGCCTCTTGTAAGAAGTGCATATATACCCAAGCATAGTATACGAAATACGTTTTTTATTGTTGTTTACTTCGTCTTCACTACATTTTTTAGGGAAACACTATAAATGTGTTCACTTTTCAGATAAAAATCAGTTTATAAAACATAATGATACTAATCATGATCCAATGTTATAATAGACTGACGGTGGCCATTCCGAATGACTTTTGATAAGTTAAGTCCATATTGTCGCACACATTTTAAAATGCAGGATCTCCTGATCCAAAGTATTTTTATAGTGTGTTATTGATAATCATGTTTTCTAGGTGAAAAACAGACAAAAGACGCTGTGTTGTAGAGTATTTACCTTGTCGGCTTCCTGGACCTCACAGATCTGCTCTCCAGTAGCCGGGTTATAGGCCGGAAAGACCTTTCCACTAACAGAGTTGTGCCACTCATTGTTGATGAAAATCTGCAAAAAGAAAATGCATGTTTAGTTTTCCTATTTCCGTAAAGCGATGCAATAAAGAATCTATACGTAAAGTCAGGGTCGAAAATCCCTTTGTATGAATTTGATGCAAAAAGCCCAATTCATTTTCAAAACCTATTAAAAATAAACAATTTAAACTAATTATATGTATGTAAATATATAATTGCACATATATTCAAACAAGCTTAAGAGGAATATAATAACTTCCCTTTGTATTTATATAATAAATATTTATGTTAAGTAATCACTTCATCACATGCTTGTAGTTGAGGAAAGACTAACAGCCCTCTTCGGGCTCTTGTGTAAGGGATATGGGAGAATCTGGAAATCTGGACAGAGATTCCTGCCTGTCCAGCATTGCTCTCTGGGGAGTGCTCCACCATCCAGACAAAGGGGTGGGGTGGGGGTGAAGATAAATCCCTATCAGACACCAGACCCCCACCCACCAACCCACCCCCAAGCACACAGACACACGTTTCACAACATCTCTGCTCGTTTACGAGATCATAAAACACGTGCCGCGCTTGGTTTCTGTGATGCGTTAAAGCAAGTCTTCCGTTAAACAACCGCCTTGGATTCCAAACAGGACATAGTTGACATCTATTAAGACCAGAAGTAAAATAAATGTTTACACAGTCACAAAGCTGGGAATTATGTCAGAAAAAATACAACACACCCTTTATAAGCTGATGAAAAGTTGAACAAAATGCAAGTGTGATTTGAAATGTGCAAATATATATTTTGAAAGTTCTCGTTGACGTGTTTAGATCTATTAGGCGGACTCCTCACACACGGTTTTTAATGGCTGTCAGTCTGTCTGATAGATAGAGTGCCAGGAGAACATCTGCTGGCACATATCCCTCTGTGTATACATATGCTCTTACCGTCCTTCTACTTAGAGGAGTTTGGATGCAAACCTGAGATCATGGTTCAAGTATCCCACTGGCCTAAGCCTCCCTAAACCCTCCAACATGTTTACCTCAATAAACGGTGGGCTTTAAGCACTATTTAATTGGCTATAAACTATTACCCGTGTTTACTTTCAGGTTGGTATAAAATGCCAGAGAGCCTGAAAACTGTTGGAGTTGCAGCACACACATCACTCTGCCTCCCTCCTCCTCCTCATTCCCACGGCTCGCAGGCTCATAATGTGGCCTCTGCGTATGAATAACTCACATGCAGACGTTTAAGGTGTTCAGTATCTGTGTGTACCACCCCACAGAACCATACGTTATACACTCATTCCTCTACGTTTCCTTTGTACTGGTCACACACACCATCCCCCACACACCTTTACCCACGCACACACACACAAAAATAGACAGGGCCAGAGAGGCTTCTCTCTCCAGTGTTCTCAGGCGCCTCCATCAGAGGCCACCTTTAATCTGACGCTCATTAAGAGCACTTCATAAAATTGTCAGTAACGATAAGGAGCAGAGGGCCAGCTACAAAAACAGAAAGTCCTGTAGAGCACTGAATTAGTTTTTAAATTTATAGGGGCCACTGAAGTGGGGCGCCCTAAATCAGAGGAGCCCCCTGACAGCCTCAACAGTCCAAGCAAGAATGCAGACCATGGGTAGCTTTATGCATGGCGTAACCCCTCTCACAAGACGCTGCTAAAGGAGAACGGATGAAGCACGAGAACAGTGGAGCAGGCCGCCACCTAAATCACAGCGAGAAAAGGACAACTGTCAGCCGCCGTTTGGCTCGGCCCTCTCTCTGGGCTCGGACTGGTGTTACACTTTTGTCTCGTTCCATTGAGAGACTTGATTAAGATGACAGGGCCGAGACGTAAATCAACTCTCAAGGTTTCTTAAAATTGCTTTTAGGATCATTTGGACGACGGGCAAGAACACAAGAATGAAAAAAGCAAGTGCAAGGGTGAACATTTTCAAATGACAAATCGTGTTTCCCATTCCCTGCGGGGTCGTTACTATCCTTCCACAAGATGGTTTTATGTTTATAAAACCACCAGACTGCAGATGACAACATTTTCAAAACAAACTATTTCACTTTCTCGCAATTAATCCTTGGTACAACTTTTAAAGCAAACATTTGTAACATTTTGTGCCACTACATTAATTAAGAAACGCTTTAACGCGGTCAGAGCTGTGATCTGTGATGCCTGACGCATAATGAGGAGGCCTGATGTGGATTAGAGCTAAGCAGCAAGCATATAGGTCAAGACTTTCTCCATGGGCCACAGGGCAGCTGCAAACATTTAGCAACTCCCAGGCTTTTCTGAAAAACCTGTCAATCACAGCATCCAGACAGAGCCTGGCCATGGAGATAATGAAAAGATGAGACGTGATGAACACGTTTCAACGTTTCTTTTGCTCATTAAGTCGGCCATTTGGTGCAGGTGTCTTAACCGTCGTCATCCGTTACAAAACGTTTTAAACAGTTAAAATAAAAATTCAATGTTCTTCACTTTGCACCAAGTAAAGTGTTAATTGCTCTTTATATTTGCCATGTTAACAACACTTTGCAAGATTATTTTTGTGACAATAATTCTTTTTTTTAGAAGTAAGCTGTAATGGGAAGTAAGAAATGCCAAAATACTTTCTGCAGCCAACAAAACATCTGTTTGGCTCCCTGTTCTTCTCACAGCTCAGACGCTAACGGCTGAAAGAACATTACATGAAACTCATTTCTTGTCTAAAAGTAAGATCGGTGGGGGCAAGAGATGGGGTTAGTTTAGCGTTTAAACAGGGGTTTTATATATAAATGTGTGTTTATACACAACAAGCCAAGAATCCACAGCCAGACGCACCCAGGCCGGGCACCTGCAACGCTCGTCTGCGCAGGAAGTTTCATATCCTCCCCTATCACAGGACCTCCATTTCCTCTTTGGATGGGTTTCAAAAGTCTTAGAATTACTACTGTTACAAGTGATTGGAGAGTATGTGAAAGTGAAGACCAGCTGGTGTTTTCTGCTCCTACTCCTCTCCACATGTGTGACACCATGGAGCCTTCATGTTTTTCATTCACACTCCCTCAGACAATGCCAGCCGGCGCTCCTGGGTTTGGCGAGGGCGACCTCGCTGTCACAGACTGGCAAACGTCTTTGTATCGTCAATGTATGTGGGCATGTGGTTAAAGTTGTTCATTCTGATTCAGAAGTTATGTGAGAAAAACACTAATTTGACATAAGGTTGTAATTATAAAAACAACTTCTTATTCACGGTTTCGGTTGCTTTAAGCAGGCAGAGAGACCACAGTATCAGACAGCTTATATTAAATACTTTTTTAAGGCTTATATAAATCATAGTTGTTATAATTTTTTCTGAAAACACACAACAGAGGACTTTTGTTTGACATATAAATGCATTGCTTTTGACAAAATTGCTCGGCAGATTCTTATCCAACTAGAAGGCCACTTTGAGAGCGCAGACCTCTGCCAGGGCCATGCCATATCTCACAATGGTAATACGAAAAATATTGTTGTTTCTGCCTTGTGATTAAGATTGACTTTAATTTAACGGGTTATTTCTTGGCCCATTTTACATCCTCCCAACAAGCTATATGAAAATCGGAACACTATCTTTTCTGTAATACTGCTAACAAATACACAAAAAAAACTAAAACCCCTCTTGTTGGCGCTATTAAACTGCTTTCTTAAGTCAACAGTTAGTTAAGTAATTGATATACCCAATGAGCATACGTGAACCCCAAAACTTACATTTTCAAATATCAAAAGTGAAGTAAAAGCCAGAAAACTTCTCCGCGCTTCACACAAATATATAAACTTTCAGACTTACAGTAAAGGTGGGGTAGGTAAGTTTGAGAAACCGGCTCGAGATACACTTTTTGTTATATTCCATGGAATGCTCTTAACATCCCGATAGCAATGAATATTTTTAGTGCTTTGACAAAAAATCCATACAAAAATGTCATCTGTGGAAGCTGTAGTACTGTAAAAAGCACGACCAATCATTTTAGCCGGCCTGGCTAAAGTAACTGGATGGCCTACCTGCCTGTCAGCCTTCCATCTGTGCACAAACTTATCTCGTGCCCTCATTGTGTTGGAGGAGGGGCTCTGTAAGGAAGTGGCAGATTTGGTCCAGCTGTGTATTTTCAAATTCTAGCGCACTCGAGTGGGTTTCTCCAAAATGACCTACCCCACCTTTAATATAAATGTATTTTAAAAAAATGCATCAGAACTTGATCTACAATTTTGACTAAGTGTTTAAAAAGTTAAAAGACAAACAATAAAATGGACCTCTCCTCTCACTACTGGTGTTATTTCTTTCCTTGGAACATCTGAGGTTTGATGGGTTTCCTGTGTACTTAACCGTTCTCTAATTCTTGGGTCAAGGAGAAGAACAGTAGTTTTACTCGTGGTATCAGCGGACAAAGAGGAAGTCATTTTTAAAGAAATATGACGCTTTTCCACTTCTGTGTTTGCTATGTGTCGTGTTTGCTGGAGAAAGAGCCTATAGGCCAACAGATTTATGAAGCCAAGTGTTTTTCAGAATGACACCGTAAGGATTTACACGTCCCTTGTCAAGAGGGCCGCACACTGAAGGTATGGGAAGTTAACTGGGTAACCTCGCTGTCACTGCTCTTCCTTAAACAGTGATTAAGAGACAGGGGACATGATGTTGACGTCTCTGCTAAGATGATAATTTACACTCGCTACACAAGTAGGCATTTCACACCAATGGACATATTAATGGCGGTGCACACTTACCCTGTCACAATCAAAGAGATGTGTTTTAGAGAGTATGTGGCCATGTGTGTGCGAACAGGGAGATTGTGTAAGCAAAGGCAGAGGAGGAGGGGGAGAGTTCTCGCTGTGCTCGTTGTGATAAATCATTTAGTTGCACAGTATCCCCTAACTTTGGCTCTGTTTGATCTTGATCGCAGTAAGATGGTGGTTTTGAAGTGAAAAACTCCAGAACTGCAGGTCAGCTCTGGCGAGGCAGGGCCACTAACCCACACAGTGAGACAGAGTCATAATTTACACCCCGCTGGACAGCACCTAGCATCGGGGAGCCCCAAGCCTCCATCTGTGCTATCTCAATCAGTGACAGATTGATGGAGCCTCTTATTCATCCAAACTGAGTGGATGTCTATGCGTAGACTGCTTTACAAATACTCGGCAGACAGGCTCTGCAAAGGTTCCTACGGTGTAAGTGCACTAATGCCACCATGAGCAAAGCAACCAAGACAATTTACAACTGCTGATTAGTTTAGGAGATGTGTAACAAAGAAAATGAACAAGGCCACTGATTTAGATCCTACAATCTGGTCCGCTTGGTTAATTTTTATATTTGTGAGACAATTACCTATGTAGTTACACCAGCTCAAAACACATACAAAAATATAGATTTTTGTATATACGGCTAAAGGGCAATCCTTTTTTTAAAGCTTAACATTCACTTTGGTGGAGGGGTTTATATTGTGATGGCACTTCACTTCACAAACATTTTACAGACTGCTCCTTCAAAGAGAAAGCATCAGAGTTATTTGCATTCCTGTTAAACATGTACACCTAAGTGTATGGTTTAACAACTCATCATCGCCGAACGGTGTGAAAAACCACAAAGGCCAGAAGCATCACCCACTGAAAAGAGCAGGAAAAGTTTATCTGTTTGCTTTAAATATTCATCAAATAAAACTCTTCTCTCCCTCTACCACAAGCGGAAAACATCAATAAATAGCTCTCTTATTTATGACTTCCTTCGTGGTCCTATCAACCTTTAAACTGTTTCTGTCTTGTAACCCAGCTGTTGGAGCCTTCTAGCGATAGACATGTGGGGGTAGGGGACGGGACAACCAAAAGAGAGCTTTCCTTCTCAAGCTCTCAGCTACAAAAGAGAGGGCGTAAGAACCTCACAATGAAGCGTAAGAGGATAACAATAGACTGATAACAGAACTCCAATCATATATAGATGCACACAAAATTCCAGATAGCTTTTCTGATAATATCAATGTGTCGCTGACCATGAGAAGTTTATGACTCGGTGAAGAGGACAAGGGGCAAACCTTGACTGCAATCACTTTTTTTTATAACATGCTTATGTTATAGAAGCAAACCTGTTGATACTGTGTCAGCCATTTCTCTATCTCCAGGGTTGATAACATGTAATCATTGCGTTGCAAAAGAAACCTTTTTGTTTTACAATTTCTTTTTATGTGATTAAGGGGAAAGTCTAATACTGCCTTTATGTTACAGAAAAGTGTAAAACAGTATCTGAGAATAAAATCTGTCCCTCAGCTTGCCGCTCCATCCACTCGCCCTGCAGGCCAGTGAACGGCGCTGCTTGTTTCCCCTGCAGTCAGTGGGGTGGAGAACAGGAACAGGGTGTGAGGAGAGCCCACGCCAGGGGTTCCCATAAATCAGGGCCCTTCTGCCCCCAATGTCCACCAAACCAACAGGGACTAGATGATCCAAATTCCTGGGGGTTAATTCACCAAGTTGCTCCCTAAATATCCTCCTGTACACCGTTGTTTGCGAGGCCTTTAACTAACACTCTGCGCTGTGAGGGAATGGAAAGCTTACAACACGACAGAGCCTATACAACATGTACTGTCCTCTTTAGTGAAGCAGCAGCGTGACCTTTGCACATAAAACACAGAGGTATGTGTTAACACCAAGCAATTATAGCACTGACTGAACTTACATCACGCTATCATTAATATGACCTTTAATCTCCGTAATCATAAAAACACTTGTTCTGCAGATAGAAGACCCTTTGAGTGGCAACAAAACTGCAGCAGGCTACCTCCTGGCTACTAAGGCTGGTGACCTCAAACCAAAGAAAATCGCAGTCAGCATTTAATCAGAAGATCTTAAAATAATGACTAAAACTTACTTCAAAGTGTACCAATATGCACATAGGGAAAAAAACGAACAAGGCATTTCCGAGATGTTATAAAACATATGAGAGCTATTTTTAACATGTGTGTAACTGGCTCAAGATTTGTGGTGGCTCAAGACTTAAATTCCAAGCGTAAGGCCAAAATACTTCACAAAGAAAATAAGAGACTGTGATTTACTGATTAAGGATTCCTTAAAAAATGTAATAGTATATGTAGTGCTATGTTTTATTATGGTAACAAAATGTGGAAGCACTTAACTACGAATCAAGAACTTACAGTATCCTCACCAGATGTTTTAATCAAATCTCTCTGAAAGCATTTATTTTAGTCGTATCTGCAACATGATTTGTTCCATGACTCAAATGAAGTTCTTTGTTTAACTCAAGCTTCTTTCTCCAGCTGTTTCTGCATCCCCTTTCTCCCACCCACACACTGTAACACAATCCTGCTCTGATAACACATTTGTTGTTTAACAATCTTTACTTTTAAATAGATTTTTTTTCTCCACTAAACAAACTTGCTGTCACTAAATAATGAGAAAATGACTGCCTTAATGACTGCAATCCTTTGGACTTGAATAACATGTGTGTCGTGTCATTGAAAGAAAAGACTTCAAGGCATAAATAAGAGGTGCTATCTTGTTTTTAAGCAAGCTCAGCCTTTGCCAATGATACAAAAAAAACTATGAGCAATTAAAGATTACTCTAATTTGAATAAAAAACAAAACACTATTGAAGTAATCATAGTAGAAAAATGGAATGAAAGATTGAGATGTTTTTTTTAAGATGATATTTTGTTAACATTTGCCAATATTACATTTCTTGTACATGTATCAATCTTTTAACTACTTTTTTTTATGCCCCCTTATTAGACCATTTCAAATCAAAAACAAATGTTATAATCATGCTCTCCAGGCAGTAAACTAATTGGATGTTGGTATGTATCTTAAGATGCAATGTAAAATAAAACAAACAAATAGGCTATATTGATAGAAAATAAAATTATTCACTTTGTTAGAAATATTTAAAAACTCTAACTATAGTTCTAAACTATGTCACACCCTTATTTGCACGTATACTAAAGAAATACTTGCTCAAATAATTTGCAACATAAATTATCAGCGTTTATCTCAGGTTTATGTAGTGATTTAATTTAGAAAATGACACTATTATAAATTTAATTCAACATTGATTATAAAACGTCTTATGTCGGTTGTTGTTACGTTTAAATGATCGTATCTGGGGGTTATTGGTTTATACATTACAATATGCACTGAGCACGTGTACGCAGAAGAAAGTAAAAGTAGGAATCACTCAATTTATCAGAAAGTTTAGACCGGATAAGTTGCCTCAGCTGCAGCTCCGAGTGAGCTTCTCTATCTGATATTAAAACGTTAGCTGCTGACACACACAAACTGCAGTTTAAAGAAGTTTGGGTTGAAGAAACACACATGATCAAATAAGTGCGAGCAGAGGACACGGAGTCGTTACGCGCAAAGAGAGAGGGTCGGCGGCGGCGGAGCAGAAACAGACCTTGGTGTACTTGATCTCCGGGTTGGGCACCGGGGAGGGCATCAGATGGAGGGATGCCATGAGAGCAGCGGGGTCGCTCTTCACCTCTCCGGGGATCTCGATCTTACTGGAAGTCATCTCGGCTGTGTCTCTAGTCTTCTGCCTGCTGAGCCTCTCGGGGTTTTTTTCTAAAGATTTCTGATTAGGACTTTGGGTTTCTTCCTGGGTTTATAGCCAGGTGTCAGCCGCGGTTCATTTTGATTGGGCGAAGAAAAGGGCTGTCCTTCTGAAAATTAAATTCATGCATTTACATAAACGACCTCAACCATGCGTGTTAAGGAGGAGAAACACATCCACCCCACCCACCTCACACTCCCGGTACACTCGGTTTACACTGCTTTTACCCAACAACAGACGCTTTTACGCAGTAATTGATAGTTTTACAACTAAACAAAGAAGAAAACAAACACATTTCCATGACTTATTAAGAGTTTAGATTGGGAGATCATGTAAACCACAGGTATAACTAAGGCTTTGAGTGTTACATGAAACTGAAACCTATTTGTCAAGGTTTAAACACTTAGAAAAGACTGTAGCCTAGTTCCACAAACTTCCCTTTAGCATCATATAAAGCCTATTATCTTCTGGCAAAAACAATCTCGCCATAAAGTTAATGTAGTAGCGGTTTTAGGCTTTGGATGGATTCACATTCTCTTTTTTGTATCTGTTGTTGTTGGATTGTAGAAGTTAATATCTCCATTTTCTGGAATGCCTCCCTCATATTGGCATGAAACTGGAGATTGGAGGTTAATTATTTACCTTAAAGTTAACAAACAATTCACCATAAAGAAGTATTTACTCGTAAGTCTCATTCTTACATCATCATTAACCATTTCCTAAGTGCCATAAAGGTGTCATCCCACTTTCCTCGGCTCACTATCACCCTGGGCTCTTTATTTGCCTAACACAACCTCCCCACGGTCTAAGATGTTATGTAAATGCGGACTAAAGGGATTGTTGCTACTTGCTGGGGTGTTGTTGGCAGAGATTTGTCCCGCAGGTGATAATTCCCCCCAGCGCCTCCTTTAAATCTCCCAATAAACATCCACCAATTAGCTGCGAGCGAGCCTGTCTCACAAAACTAAAAGGAATTAAAGCAAAGCCACGCATGTATTAACACATACACAACAACTGCATTTCTTTACACATGCATGAAGCCACTCAGGTAGAGGGGAAATAAGTAGTTAATTTGTGGTTTAGTCTGTGAAATGAAAGCGAATGCAGAACAATGTATCTTGCATAGGAATAAGAACGTAGTTTGAAAACTCGGAAGTATTGATATCGAGTAATTTTCTCATTCATTTTAGATTTCATAATCTGAGCCTCTTGACAGGACAAAGGAGTGTGGAGACAGATGCAGGCCCATCATTTGCAAATCCCCGCAGGATGCTGTTTCTCCGTCAGCACATCTCCCTTTTTTCACAGCATGGGCGACACTCTCAAAGTGTCTGTTTCACATCAAAGAGGACGTGCCTGAAACGGTGACATTGATTAATGTATTGAAAACATCCCATCCTCAGCCTGTCGCCTCACCTTTTCACAGAGCACAGTGAACGGGAGATAAGACAAACCGGGGGAGACGGTGTGACAAACTGCTGAGCTCAAATGTATTCATGGAGCTCCCTCTGTTGGATGGACCGAGCCTCGGACACTCAAACTCACATGCACAGTTTTAACAGTATTTACAAAAGAGCCGTTTGATAAGGTAAATGGGATGGGAATGGTTACAACATAGAATAATTAAGGAAAGGATAATGGAAATATGACTGATAAGTGGAACCACAAAGCGGCAAACAGAAAAGGTGAGTGTTAAAACGTTGCAAACTTTCAGATAAGACAGAACAGAAAAAGTGCCAAAAATGCAACGAGCCCTGGAAGGCGTTTTCCCGGACAAGTTTTTACAAAAAGAATACCAAAGTAAGTATTTAAGGAATCATTGAACTGGGGGGTTTATTTAAAAATAGATTTGTTATTATTTAGTTAGTTTTTAATTAACGTACAATACAAATAAATTAGATATATAAATAGCATATCCAAAATACAAATAGGATGTTATTTTTAGGTCGTCTTGTATATTATCAGCTCAGAATTGTTCTGTTAGGCCTATATTTACTCACATAGTCCATCGTACTTTGTGGTTATGTGTTGTTACCTTAACATGTAATAAGCCATTATAAGACTCGGGTGGATGAGGGCTGCAGAAAAAGCGTGTGAAAACTGATCCTCACAAATATAGCTAGCCTACTTTTTATTGAATAACTTGGCGAGTTTTAGTTTATCAGAAGGCTTACGCAGCCTAAAACATTTGACTATAATTAGGCTATTTAAAAATAATCGTGGGATTATTAAAGCGCACATGCCAGCCGATTCATACATTAAAACGTGTTTGACTTTTATAATGACAAAAGATAAAACCTTAAATATATACACACATTTTAAATTAATACATGTTTTATGAGCTCAAACTAGTTAACATAATTGAGACAACGATATGTGTTTATTAAGAACTGTATAATGGTTAAATCATCTGTGATTCATGAAATTGAATATTATCATGGATTTGTGTTAGAAATATACTGTACAGACTGTTGTTTTAAAAAAAATATTAAAAAAACTCACTGTTAACTTTTAATTAGCCTGAACGTTTTTTAAATGAGCTTTACCAAGCTTTAGATTTGTCTTCATCATCCAAAAATAAAATGTTAATAGACTAAAGAAATCAACAGTTAGTCCTATTTTCACTAGACGTGTTTCCCTAAGGAAGGTGCTAGTATACTCAATATAAAGTACATTTTGTGATCAGAATAGTGACTGTTGGTTTACAATTTGGAAGGTGATTGTGATTGTTGGTGATAACAGTTATCTTAGTTTACGAGCAATTCATCTCATGGGAGTTGTTTCATATATTTTTTTAATTCACATTTCATATTAAACAAAAGTCTGCCTGAGAGTTTCATGACTATCAGTTCTGCTAAAAATGTAATTTGGGATAAATAAGTTCTCACCCATTTTCCAAGGTTTTATTTGCGAAGTTGCATATAGGGCTTTTCTAATTAATTGGTTAATAATGGCATTTTAAAATATTGCATATCTTCCTCGAGTGTGTGTTCAAACTGTATTTTTGTGTGTTACCAAAATCCATACAAAGAGGCCTACTTTCAGCCATGGTTAGGTGTGCGTGTGTCTGGAGCCTTTATTTATAATAAAAAGTAGACCCCTTGTGGTTACAAAGGGAAATAGAAGCTTAGCGCACCGAGTGGGAGGCGGCAACCTGACCGACAATCACAGACTCCTCATAGTTGTTTGTTCTGATCGGAGGAAGACATCAAGGAGCCGCAGGACGAACAAAAATGGAAGATGAGAGCAAGATGAAGATGAAGGAGAGATTTGGCCTGAGGCGGGACATCTTTAAGGAGTTCCTGGCGGAATTTCTGGGGACATTTGTCCTGATAGTGAGTACCTCCCTCTGCACCTGTCATCCAGCTTAAACAGCCGCTTTAAAGCTTGGAACCAGTATGCTAATAATGTGTCAAACTGAGTCTCTTGGGACTCTGGCTGCTGTCTCTCATATGTCTCTATTAACACATAGTATATTCGGGGAATAACAGACTTTCTCTTTGATGTGCTGCAGCTGTAATTTGCTCCTGACAATCATAACAAGATGTGACTGATGTGGGACTGTTTTTTCTTCCTCACAACTCCTCCAGAAGTGCATTGCAACATAAAAGATCAATCATTTTAATGTGTAATAAGTCATTTTCTTGTTAGTAAGGAGATTATGAAAAACAAATGAACATGGGATTACATTAATTATAGCAAATGCTCACATTGCAATACAGAGTATTATAACTGTTTTTCAGTTTTTTTATAATTCCTTGCCAATAATAATGCCTGCTTTTTAGTTATTCATGTAATAGTAATGTTAATTTCTTATTCTGCACTGTCCTTACCTCCACCTCCTGTCACATCTCCAATTAAATGCCTCAGATGCCACATCAAAAGAGGGATGCAGCTTCCATAATAGTCCTTTTTCATTTTTGGACCCTGCTCTGCTCACAACATTTGTTTTGGATGTAATTACTTCTCCGTTTGACCTAATAAGTGGGGGATTCATTATTTTTCTTTGGAGGCTCCAAGTAGGACAAATTGTCTGTGGGAGGTTGGTGGTGGACAAGAGGGGTAGTGTTAATGCCGATTATAATTGGAATAATTAAAAACAATGAGTCTTTCTACCTCTTTGTGTTTTGTTCTTGTGTCCCAGCTCTTTGGATGTGGTTCAGTGGCCCAGACGGTGCTGAGTAGAGGGGCTCTCGGGGAGCCTTTGACCATCCACATTGGTTTCACTCTGGGAGTCATGATGGCCGTCTACATGGCAGGGGGGGTGTCAGGTAAAAATAGCAACATGCACAGCTCACATTCATTACAATACAAAATCATGTAATTTCTCAAATATGGCTACTAATGTTTGTTTGCAGAATCAACAAAATTGTTGATTAATCAGTCATTAATAGATCGGAAAATTGTTAAGTGGCAAGTTTGTAAAGATCTAGGGTGACATTTATATAATACTTTCAAAAATGTTCAGTTAACAGTTATATATAAATGAGGGCACATATACCAATTCTCACAATTAAGAAGCTGGATCAAAGTGACGTTTTTTGGCCCAGTTGCTTAAAAATTATTATCAATAGTAATTTCCTCAGTTTTCTAGAAATGAAATGATGAAAGAAAAACGAAGAAAACATTCAATTTTTTTCATTTTGGCCAACAAAAAGCTGCAAACGGGCCGGTAACAAAGGTCGTCTCACAATATTTGTCTGTGGCAGAGACGCAGTCTTTGGTCATGGATGTCTGTCTGTCTCTTTACTCTTAAAGCAACAGCAATGATTGTCATCATTGTTTATTGATCTTGATAAAGTGATGGCCTATGAAGACCAGAGTATACTTTTATTATGGACTTCCAGTGTGACATAATGGAGAGCATTCAATAGCAACCTCTTTTCTGGTCTATAAAGCAAGATTTACTGACACTAATGGAGTGTATTTTGATACTTTGTTGTATTACCGTCTCCAATGGGCTGATTTTCAGAGCAAATCAGGGCGCTTAAGTTATAGAGATATTGTGTCCTGATGTCCAAATGGGACTTTTTCAGGTACATTCCTCCAGGATTACAGCAAGAAGAGCCCTCTGTGTGTTGCCAGCAGTGACAAAGACAGAAAGGTATAGTTGTTAAATGTCACAGTGCTTACCATTGGCATGCTGAGCCAAAATGGTGAGAATCCATTAATCAGCCATCAAGGGATACATTATGTCGAAGGTTACATTTTGTGAGGGCTTCATGGACTGCTGTGAGGTAATTTCCATTACTGCTGGGACTTGAAAACTCATCATCAAAGAGAGATCGAGCATTTGTTCTCTCCTGTCATGTCTGTTAAACATGAAGTTACAGACAGTTAGCTTAGCATAAAGACTAAAACAGGGTAATGCAATAAGACCTACCTCCGCCTCGAAAGCTAAATAATTAACATGTTACATTTGATCTGTTTAAGCTGTATAAAAAAAGGATACCTACCAAGAAATATTATATAGAGCCATTTTCACAATAAAAAAAAACCCAAGATATAACATGCCAATGGAAAGCTTTATCCAACTGGTTGTTGGATTTAATTATTTTGTAATTGTTTTTTTATCAAAGCTGTAGCTCCGTTTCCAGTTTTCTAAGCTAACCCACTCCCGGGTCCAACTACATGTTCACCCACAGATATTAAAGAGTGGTATCCATATTCTCATCTGACGATCTGCAAGAAAGCGAGTTAGCAAGTATCCACATTTTTTGATCTATTCCTTTCAAAACTTAAAATGTCTGTGCTATACAGACTTTTGAGTTTGACTGAACAGTCTCACAATGAAACATATTCTTCTGTTATGTGTTTTTCTTAAAGCATGTTTTGAAACCCCCAATGATTTAGGGGGAACTATTATATTTCGTGTGTTTGAAGAGATTTGCAAATATATCATTGAGAAATATAAACCGATAGAGGATGGAAAAAATCATGGAAGCACTTCCAGTCTATTTTGTTGAGGATGGATGGCTGTTGTTGGAGGTCTCTCTGACTTTCTTGTGCTACATGTTTAATGAGAAGAGTAGTAAAGCTTCAGAGGAATCGCTGCAAAGCCTGATGACACGGAGGTTAATATATGGAGAGATTTTGCTGCATGAATGGGCCATTCAACCCCGGGGTCCACAGCTCAGTGGGAAGCTTCTGTCCAACGACATCTCTGAAGATGATCGTAGGTATTGGACTAATGAGCTTTACTGGGGCATGGGTCTCTGGAGAGGAGGAGGGTCAGGTGTGACAAGCCTGGCTTACTAGGCTTCCCTGGCAGGGAGGCCCCATAAGAGAAGAAAACACAATTGTTTTCACTTTGTAGTCTCAGATTTTAGATGACAGTGTACCGTAAGTGTGACACATCATGGTCACTCTAATGACCTGCAGTCTACGTGTGCCTTAAGCAGATTCAGGCAGATTATGTCAGATGCAATTCAGGCAGGCCGGTCTGGCTGGTTGTCATGGTCAGTATTTGTGAACAGGACGGGGAGATTAAGAATGGGCGCATGGCTGATACCCCCAATGGTGTTACCACAGCGAGGTCGAAGCCAAGATCCCAGAGTGTTAAATAAATGACCCCACACTGTCATCACAGCCTAGTAACATTTGGCTGGAATGTGTTCAAACACACCTCTGAAGAACAATGTCGATTCTGACGGCACACAAACCCAGTGCTCTTTGTTTGAAAATATCCTGGAAGTTTTGAATGAATGAGCTGTGGAGGGTTTGACAACAGGCGCTAAATGATCAGACAGCCTTTGTTTTAATCCACTGAACTCAATTTACTTTACCTCAGAAGTGAAGACGTGAAGTTTAAAATGCTCGGCTAAATCATCCTTCTCAGCTTGGTCACAGCTGTTTATCATTTGATTCAGAGTTGAAACAATTAGTGAATTAATCAATAGGTCAATCCACAGAAAAATAAACCTGACTATCATTTAAAGGAGATTACACATTTACACATCAAAGGATTTAGGGAGTACTACTGCTTAAGTGAAATAAATACTTTAATAAAGGTGCAGGAAATCAATAAAATTGCCTCAATTAATCCCACTTGAAGATGAAAACAACAACTTTGAAAATGAAAAACATTTTGAGTTGGTTAGTTGAAAGAAGATTACCATCATCGGCAGCTAAATGTAATTGTAGGAAATGTAGAAGCAAAGTTTTGAAAATAAAGATAGATCATTTCTCTAGCAAAAATACGAAATAATTGCTGGTTCCTGTACTTATCAAATGTGATAATGTACTGCTTTTAAGTGATATAACAAATAATAAAAGATGTTTCCATATTCCCCCTTTCCTGTCGTATTGATAACAAATCATTTAAAGAGTAATTGTTAATGGGAATAATCGGAATTTCCCCCTTTGTTTTATAAATAAAAAATATATTAAGTACTTTCGGTCACCTGCAGTGGTTGTTGTTGCTGATGTTGTTAATGTTGTGTGTATCCTTGTTGCAGGAGCCCACCTGAACCCTGCAGTCTCTCTGGCCATGGTGATCGTGGGGAAGCTTCATATTAAGAAGTTCCCTGTGTATGTGCTGGCACAATTCCTGGGGGCTTTTGCTGGATCCTGTGCTGTGTATGGATTGTACTATGGTGGGTCGTGTAAATGTATAAATGATGTCACTAGAAGAACACTGTCAGAAAGGATTACTTGATTATCAGGATCATCTTTTTCTAAAGAGACCCAGATCTGCGTCGACTCTGAAACAAAGTCAAGTTATATGTCTAATAAAACACAAATATAATCTTGCCAGTAAAACTTGATTTTCTTTTCCATAGATGCTTTGATGGAATATACCGATGGAGAATTTGCTGTTACTGGTGCAAATGCCACAGCCAACATATTCGCATCGTATCCTGCAAAACATCTCTCCGTCCTAAATGGGTTTGTTGATCAGGTAAGGCTTAAGATTGACGTGCATTTGAATAGTAATTCCGCCTGAAAATAAACCATACATACACCTATGGAATAGAACACAATGATCAGTTTAACATAAACTGCCTGAGGACACGACATAATTATGTTTTGAATCTTGGATCAGCTACTATCTTTGGAATATTTTATTTGAAATGATTGATTTCAGAGTGATTTTCCAACAGGATTCTCTGTATATTGGGGTTACTAGAGCATACAGAGATGTACATGTAAATGGACATGGGAGTTGTTTGCTGATGAATAAACAATTCTGCTCTGATGCTAAGAATAACTCCCATCTGTTCTGAAGAGATGAGAATGTTAGTTAATGTACAGTATTTGTGAGCACATCATTGGTCTGCTGAGTATTTATTTTGTTTTGATAATATTTCAAATAAAATATTATCAAAATAAATATTATATATAGGATTAACAAGCATTTCTGATGTAAACAACAGCTGAATTATCAGAAACATTCATTATTAACATTACCAGACCTGCCAATTAAATCAAGAAGAAGTAAAGAGGGATATTTGGTAATGGGAATTCGAATCGCAGACAGTTTGCCTTAAGTGGTCCAATTAGAATGAATATAAGTTTTAGATAATTCTGTATGTTTACATGTGTGATGTAGAGCCATATGGGGCTGTGTAGTAAAGCTGCCTTATACAGACTGAAACCAGGGGAAGGGGGAAGCCTCATAATAAGCTTAGACACATAGGGCAGGGGTCACCAGAGCAAATTAGGTAACTCAACAACAACCAAACAACTTCAACAACTACGAAGAGAGTCATTTCCTATGTTCCTTTATGTCTTGGACTTGAATGTTGTGAATATACCTGAAGTTATGCCCGATGCTCTTGTGTTTAAGGTGATTGCCACAGCCGCTCTGATCCTGTGCATCCTGGCCATCACCGACAAGAGGAACATCGGTGCTCCTAAAGGCATGGAGCCTCTCTGCATCGGGCTCATCATCATGGCCATCGGGGTGTCCATGGGTCTGAACTGCGGATATCCCATCAACCCGGCACGGGACCTCGGACCACGGTTCTTCACAGCTGTGGCCGGGTGGGGGATGGACGTATTCAGGTAATGTTACTGCATGATAAACAAAAATCTACCTGTCATCACCCCCGAAAAACACATGTCTTTGCAAAACGACAAACACAAAACATGGAGTCTTAAAGTTCCTAATCTAGAGAGCTATATTTCAGTGTTTTAAGAAAATAGAAGACTTTTTTTTCTCCTTACTGAGAGAACTAGGAGTCCATTATTTACTGCAGCTCTCTCAGCAGGGCCTGAGGCTAGATGGGTTATGTAAGAAACTGCATTTAACCAAGTGGCTGCTCTCTTCTACACCAAATCAAGAGAGCGTTTGTAGCACCATCTCTGATCTCTTGACAATCTGAATGAATATTTCATAGACCATTCGTGTTTTTCCTGCATTCTGAAAAAGGGCTTTAGGATTTGAGTGAACATGGAGAGATTCCATGCACATAAATATTCAATGCTTCATTACTAGTGGCATCATTTATGTTACTAAGTCTCTTTTTCTTCATTTTATTCTCTCTTTATTGTTCACACTAACTGATTACAATTCATATGACCAGAGGTACTGTATTTAATGTTATTCCTATTTTATATTTATCAAGCTATTTCGTTTATATACAAAGTCTCACTTTTAACTGATAGATGCCAACATTTGCTCAATCACTTCAACTCTAAAACAAACCGCATTTTGATCAACAAAAAGGAAAACATCGCACACCAAATGTGCCCCTCTAATGTCCCCAAGTTGTACATTTCAGGTTCTGTCTGTACATTGCAAACAAGAGAGAGGACAAGGTGCACCCCAGTCCAATTTTTACTTTGGACTTTGTCAAGAATGCAAACAAAGCTCTACAACTTCATGTATTCAAACCAAATGGCTCGGAACAGCAGGCTCTGTATACTTTGCTCCTACAGGATACTAGCTGGAACATTTCCAACATCTGCAAACACATATGGATAAGAAAAGTTGTATGACCTCTTCAGTGACTGTGCAGGGCCAACATGTTGTTCAAATGTTCTTCCTGAGGTCAAGTCTCATTTCCAGTATCTTGATTCAAGCTTTAATTACCACTGACTTTGATCCCGTTAAAAGTTGGAAAGCATTTCTCACGTTGCCTTTTTCTGAGGATTACAACGTGGTCGGGGGCTCTTTGCCAGTTGTCTTTTATCCAAAATCGATGTGACCATGGTGAAGCAAGTGTACTGTCGTACCCAAAAATATCAGCACGAGTAGAATTTCACGAGTTTATCTCGTCCCTTTCCAAAGAGGAGCTTTCTCACTAAGTGATTAACAATATCACATTTAGTTTCTCACAAGGTCACGTTTAGTTTTTATTTACTTACATCCACAGATGTAATAGTGTTGTACTTGCTGAGAACAATATCTTGTCTTCTGCTGAAAAGACTAGTACCAGAATGCCTCTGAGGTTCTCAAAATATGTTCTCTGTCTGCCCTTTTACAGAAATACTACCTCAGGAATTGGATTTATTTTACTCGTATGTTGTCATAAATAGATTTATGCTGTTTCTGTCATTGCACTTAAAGCCCTGTTTGTCTCTGGCCCTTTCTTTTTAAACCTACCCTCAAAAGTGTGCATTCGACTACTGACAAACATTCAAGTTGGAGAATGTGTAGACTTCTAACAAAGTACAGAATACAGCTTGGATAATTATGCAGTTTTCTTATGAAGGCAGTTGTTTAATTCTAATAATAGTATTAGTTTAATTTACCTTATTTGGCTTGATAACATAACATAAAGTGGTTGAATGCAAACATAAGTCTTGCTATTGGAAATATACTGTTGCTCTCAGGCTTCGTGTCACAGTTGTAACTATGTCAGATGGCTTATATAACTAGATATATAGAAAGATTGCTTTAATGCACATAATGTAAGCCCTTGGTGCCATCAGGTGCATGTCATGCAAGTGTGTGCTAATTCTCACATAATCTTTTACATTTATTATGTAAATATAGCGGCTACACATGCATGCAGATCCATTGGAGAGCGGCACTTGGCTCCATATAAAGTTCACATGGCGTCAATGTGACCCACTGTCTCCTGGCCTGATCATCTTAACTGTGGCCTTAGATTAAAGTCTGTAATCCAGCCGCTTCCCTCTCAAGTGTACTTCCCGAACGCGTACAGAATAGAAAGATGACCCTGCTCGGATGCTTGTTTAGTTTCAGGGCTGTGTTTCATCTCTGTTAACTGAATCCCTCTCACCTAAAGGCTCCTAACGGCCACATTTACCAGCAGCCCTCTGATCTGTGTCAGAGGTCAGGCAGAGTGAGCATGAGGACACATGCAATCAGTCTAACACTCAGAACTCCTTAAGACTGTAATCCTGGCTAACACGCGTCCTGTAGGGTGATACCGACATAAACAGATTGGAGAAGCCGATTGAATCGTTTCATTTAAACTGTACCTCAGCATTAGACAAAGATTGGGGGATTTGCAAAGGGCAGATTAAAAAAGCATGGTTAAAAGTAAAGCAGAGGTGTCTGATACGAGTCACGCTGAATCTTAGATTTTCCAAAATGTAACTCAAATTGGTCTTTCATTATGTAATATAGGGTAACCACAACTACGTTTGAGGTCCAAGTTATAACATGATGAATAGTTGTTTGTTGTTCTTTTGTTGGTAAAACTAAACCAACATGGGTGCCTTATGTCAGAGTTATTAGAAGACTAGTTTGATATTTGATAAATAAGCTAATAAGCTAATTCGTGTTCTCGCATAGAGTATGATCAGAGTATGAGTATCAGGGAAATACGGTAAAAGTAAAGCTATGGACAGCCTTCTTTCTGTTAGCTTAGCTAAGCACAAAGAGCACTGACTTCAGTAAGTGACTTTGACTAACCTAAAAGTAGTCCGCAACCTGATCAACTGTAAACGTGCAATTTTAATGCTTTGGTTTTTTGTAAATATTAAACAAACCGGGGAAAAGAATAGCTGCTTACTTGCTGCAATCTCCCAAACTGTCCAACTATTCCTTGTCAATGCATGGTATTTTTAAGCTTGGCAAGAAGACTCAGTGTTTGAATGGTAAAGATTTAAGATTATAATGTTTAAATAGTGCAAGTTTTAGTGTAAATTATATCAAATTCATTGCTAAATTGTATTTTGTCATTACTGATATGTGTTGGTCCTCTCTACAGAGCCGGAGGGTGCTGGTGGTGGATCCCCGTGGCAGGACCCATGGTGGGCGGAGCCGTCGGAGCAGGTGTTTACTTCCTGTTCATTGAGTTGCACCACACCCAGCCTGAAAAACTGGATGAGAAAAATGCCCAGGACAAATATGAAATAATAACTATGAGTTAAAATTAAAAAAAATTAAGGTTGCAAAGCAAAGCAACCACACTGATTCAACAACTCATTTTCACACTCAGAAAGCAAAAAATAGTTTAAAAGATAAATGTACAGTTAGTATTTTAACACAAAACATGCACCTGACTACACCATTTTATAGTCATATATAAAATATCCAAAATGTTTTATAAAGCCTTTCTTTGTAGAAAATCTGGTCTGCTTTAGGTTCCGAGTTTATTTGCCTCTGGCTCTTTCATATCAAAAATATTAATCAGATTATTTTATGCCAAGTTTAAACTACCTGAAATGAGAACCTACTTTGGAGATTTTTTATCATTTGCCAAGTTTTCTGTACAGCATTTTGATTTGTACTATTGCCTACCCAACAAACAAGGGCATTACATATATGTAGCACCATGAAACAGTTGATTTATATTATTGATAATTTATATTACTTTAGCCAATGTCTTACAGTTATGATGTGTTTAGTGGAGTGACTTCCTGATTCAGTTTCACTTCACCCCTTGCTTATGCGTTAAAAGAGTGCGATTGATTGCTTTATCTTTCTTGCAGAATTGTAATTTTTGTAACACATTTATGAAGAAAATACAGCCTTAAAGGATTTTTTGGCATTGCTTATTTATCATTCATCTTCATAATTTTGTGTCACACAAACTTCTGTTATTTTGCTGTTTTACAAATTGACAGACACCCTTGATATTGAACAGCCATAACTTCACATGAGACATATAAATGTCTGCTTTCTGCAAAGATGTTTATTTTGTTTCCAGCAGAAGCTTTTGCAGAAGTCACTGAGATCCTTGATGGATTGTGTCAGTGCACTTGCTGTATCAGGGGCAATAGGCACACACTGACTGTATCTGTTTACATTTAAAACTCTTCTGAGGTCAGGTAAAATGACTGTTTCAAAATGTATGAGATGAACATGCATTTATACATACACTAATTGTAACACTGTTTTGCATTGGACTGAATGTCTTTTTACAACACAGGCACTTGTTTGGCAACTTGACAATCCCATGTCATGCTTTTCTGGTTATTACCCGTCCCCTTCTGTGTTATGAAGGTTTTTATGCATGTAAACGGTCTGCAGAGTCGCAAACCCTCAAAGTACACCCTGTAGCGAGTAAAACTCTAACACAGAAAATACCTCCCCAAAACGCCTCGTTGGAGATACGTCATTGTCCATTTGATTTTTCCGGGTACGCATGATGTCAACCGTACCCGGAACGAAATGGACCAATCCGTGGACTTCCTCACACACACACTCAGTGCAAGCAGCTCTGTTGATTTCTCCTCCCTGGCTGCAGGCTGATAACAGACAGTTGGGATTGCGGCGAAATTCTCTCTGCAGACCCATTCTCACAGCGTTTATCAACCTTTTTCTTACTCAATATCAAGCCACACTTATTGTTTTTACTTCGGCTGTGACTTTGTGTGTGCTCAGGATGAGTTTGGCTGTGTATCGCTAAACAAGGAAACAACACCTCCACGGAGCTTAGCGCGATTCACAACGTGAACCAACCAATCAGAGCACACTGTGCTCACAGGGAGGGTGGGGGCTGGAGCTACTGGAGCTACAACGAGCCGTTAAAGGCAGAGAGTAAAATTCAGTGAATACACGTAGTTTACAGAGATGCTGTATGAGAAACCAAAGTGAGTTTGGAAAATTGCACAATATAAATCTATTCTAGTAGACCTCAACAATGGAATTATGATCAGTGGAAATGGCCGTGACATGGGACCTTTAAATTTAATTTGCTAGATTTACATTTGAGAAAGAGAAAAATGTGAACAAAGTCAGAGGAATAACTATTATACTTTTGCCCTTGCATGTGTCCTACGTTTGAATAAGAGTAATTAAGCATGTTTGATAAGATTTTGAAGGTGAAGTTAAGTATATTATGCATCTCACTGTTGCAAACTTTGACGTCAGTGCTTCGGTCCCGAGTATTCAGCCAGGTAGGACACTACATTTTAATCTTTTTTTTTTTGTTGGTGTTGCTTATTTGCTTTTTATAAAATAAATCTGTATGAATAAACAATTTTTTTCAGTGTATCTCAAGGTTGAATAAAGTTTGTGCAAAGGATTTGTGTGTCCATATTTATCTTAAAAACATTTTACAAAGATATTACACTATGTATTAATATTTGCGATTGTGATGATATCAACGGATTAATAAACTATAATCTCTACTGTTTTTGCTCTTAAAATTAAAAATGCAGTTCAATGTCAAAAAATGTGTGCCTGTGAAAAAAATTCAGTTCAATTGAAGTATGTGAGCTTTTGCATCTTAAACAAAATCGCATATTTTACCCGTTCAGATGTTTGTTTCACCTAAATTGGCTAAACCTAAAGGTAAAAAAACAGACATTTTATGTTATTCCTCATTCCCAAAAATGTTCCCACTCTAAACTGGAACACACACACACACACACACACACACACACACACACACACACACACACACACAGACACACACTAATCAAAAAGTGTATTTCCTANTGATTTGAGTTTCATGTGTTAAGTTTTGGGTTTATTTTGTTGTTCTGTGTACAGGAAGTAGGACCAGACAAGACACAAGGAGGAAAACATGAGACAGGGAACACAGAACAACAAAATAAACCCAAAACTTAACACATGAAACTCAAATCATTACAGTTACCTGTGTGATACATGAATTATTTATTTCCACGTCACTTACCGGTTAGGAGAAAACCTTTGAACTTCCTCACTTACCTCGGGCCGAGAGTCTACTTACAGAGCCTATAAGGAAAGGTAGAAAGTTCCTCACACGGGCAATTTACGTTTTTTGGCAAAGGCGAGTGCACTGTCAGTTTTGGGAAAAGTGCAAAAGAAATTGGAGGGAGAGTGGAGCCAAATGATAAGAACCAAACAGATAAGGAAAAGTGGGAGAGTTACTGTATTTAATAACAGCCCCTTTCAAAAAAGAATTAAAAGAACTGATCGAGAAACTAAAACTCCCCTTTGCACTTTCCCATTTTCTGCTTGCTTTTGTAAGACAAGTCTTGAAGCCGACAACATAACTGTGTTATCGACGTTGGTACACATAAACAAAATCTGACGCTCATCCTAATAATAAAAATAGCAAGAACCACAGCTTGCTTACTCCGTGAATGAAGCTGTGCACACGTTGTAGCAGCCTGTGAGATTGTGTTTAACGAATAAACCAAGTTTAGTTCTGTCCACATGGCGCAATCAGAGTACTTGCAACCTATTTGGTACCAGGAAATATGACTAACAAACCTCCTGTGGTTCCTCCAGTCCAAACGCAGGAACAATTATGGAGTTCTGATATAGTTCCTGCTTCCCTTGAACATTTCCTTTTGTAAGTGTGTGTTCAGAAAGTCCTGTTGAATGTTGAAAGGAACTTAGCATCATAAACCAACGTATGCTTCGGTTTGCTTGGATTCTTTGAAAGAAACAGAGAATGGGATTGGGAGTCAATGTGAGATGAAATGAATCAGAAGACCCACAAATACAAAGATGAAGACAAATACAGGATAAGAGAAAGTCACAAGTCTTATGAGGGAGCTGTACATTCAGCCAGCAGAGTGCTTTCGACTTTACACAAAGTATCTCTCCAGCTGATAAATCAATCTCGTTCTTTCACACTTCTTTTATGAAATATAAACGCTCCAACTACAGTGTGTGTGCAGCTTTTTCTGGTAGATCTAACCAAAGAAAACACTTCATGCTGTCTTCGGGTTTCTTTGGCTTCGCAGCACCGACTCTGAGCCCACATCCAGCAGCAGTTCCTGTCCGCTCTGCCAGAGACAAGTACTGGTGCTCTCTGTATGTCCGGGCCTCTGGCTCGGGCTTAAAAACCCCTTCTGTGTCTGACCTACCTGCGTCCAATTTCCAACTGAATCAGAACCTCTCTGTGGAGCCCTTAAGGTAGAGGCTGAGATGTTACCTGTGGGAGGTCTTCCTGGGTGTTGGACCTGTGCAGGAAAAAGCTACGGACAAATTACATTTCCATATGTATAACTGGGGTTTGATCTGCTTCCTGTGAGTGGTCTTACAGAAGTTCTCATTCAACGAACTTGAGCTCCACATGAGCTGCAGAAATCGATCTTAAACAGATCCATTCAACAAGACGTATTAGTCCCCTCCCATTATCATCCCCTGATACTTGAAGCAAATTGGCTCGTACTCATCTGAAAGCATTTGCATTTTTTTGGGATGAGATAGTTTACTGTCGGTTACAGCATGTCCTTTCTCCTCCTAATTTCCTATCCTCCACAGAGGTCTTCATTTCAAGAATAGCAGTAATTTTTTGGCTACTGTTTTAAATGACTTTATTGTTGGAAGTAGCAGCAAAGCGGCTCTATAATAGAAACAAAACAACACTCAAAACAAAACAACGTGTTTAAGCTTAAAGCCACTTTGTTTCTATATTAATTTGTTGCCACCTTTAGGCAACAGCCAGCTTTACACTTCACTAATATGGTCTCTATTCACAGCTATGGCACGCTGAAGCTATTGAGTCGTTTTTACACACAGGGAAATTGATAAACAATCAAAATGTTATGACGTTGGCACGCAACAAACCACATGTTGGGACAAGTTCAGTTAAACTTATTCCAGTAGAATTGCAGAACTAAAACAAAAACTGCTTCTATGAATGTATGTTCCATTCAAACATTTTTTATTTATATAACTTAAAGGCTGCATTTTGGTCCAAACATTACAGCATAAGATGCATCATTAGCACTTCACAGAGATGATAAATGACTCACTCAAACATGCTACAATTTAAGGCCTGTGACATCATTGGACGATTTGAACTTTAATTTGTTACCATTGCATCATGGGAAGTCTTGTAATCTTAGCCAAGCATTACGGCCCGTCCACACAGCAGCTTAAAAAAAATCTTGAAAATCTTGGAGCTGGGTGTGTCTGAAAGCTTGGGGATTTTTTGTGAGCAAGCC